TGCAGGGTGCAGGTCAGCCCCGCTCCTTGCAGGCACGGCTGCCGGTGTCCTCGGCCCGGGGCAGTGTTTGAATCTTCACTGCTGTGCCTTTCACCTCCGCGAGCCTTCGGATACTGCTGGCACTTGAAGCCCTTGTCCGAAAGGCTCTGAGCTACTTCGGGGTGATCACTGTATTTCTGACCAGGCTACGGACAGGCAGCGTGCGCTCTCTCGCCGCAGTTTCGAGGTCCCGATTCCAGCTGCCGGGGTTTGCCGGGAGCAGGACCCGAGTGATGTGCAAGCGCCCGCCTGTCCTGCGGGGCCGCGGGGGCCGCAGGGCGGGCAGGGGGAGGGACGGCCGTGCCCCGGGCAGGGTATTTCCGCAGGAGCAATCGGGAATTGCGCATCCCCGCTCCGCCAGCTCTGGTGCGAGGCCCGGCTCGGGTTGGCCCCTCCGCGCTGCTGTAGCGGCAGGGGCGGCGCGGGGCTGCGGGCCGGGGCCGGTCCGCCGGCCGTGAGCCCTGGGAGCGCTCCGGGGAGACACAGCCCCCGCCGCCGGCGGCCCGCGCCTCTCTTGGGAAAATGCATCATTTCCGTGGAGCTGCTGAGCTCATAGTGTCTATCCCGCCTTTTACGGCATTGCTGTTTGATAAAAGCAATCTCAGCGTGTGAACCATTAAGAACGCTGTCTCCCCTCCGCGCGCCCAGGTGGGAGGATGCTCCATTCCGGGAGAGCCTCCTGGCCGGGCGCGGGCATCCTCCGTGCCCTGGGAGCGCTGTGCGGGGCTCCGAGCAGGCCCCGCAGCCCCGCTCCTGCTCGGGAAAGGAAAAGGTGCCTGGGAGTGGGAACTGCTCAGTGCCGTCAGCCTTTCCTTGGAAAATGGAGTGTCTGGTTGATGGGATCTTGGTTCAAAACTGGCTGCGTGGAAGGAGAAGCCAGCAGAGCAGGAATGCTTGGTGGCATGTCGCCCTGGAGTTCTGGGAGGCTGGCAGTGTGCCGGGACGGCCCGTCCGCCCTCCTGAAATGTTCCCAGAGCGCTGGAGTGCCAGGCGGCGGTTGTGAGTGGGGAGTACAAAAGATTTGGGGTTGCCAAGGGGTAACAAATTAGTAATACTGGAATGAGAATGTATCGATAAGTGTAAGGGAAAGAGGGAGTTAAGCTTCAGGCAAAAACATAAATTTGAACGGGAATCTGGTTAAGCATTAGTAGTAAAAGTCTGAAATTAAGAGGCTGTGAAAAAGAGAAACCAACAGCATTTCATAGCTGGCTGAAGACAATACCAAAATTCCTTCTAATGCAGTAACTTTTTTTTTTTTTTTTTTTTTTTTTTTTTTCCCAGAAGTACTTAGACAAAAAAATACACGTTTTTCTCAATAGTATTTTCTGTTTTTCAGTTTTTTTCTGAAAGCTGCCAGCCATTGAATTTGCATGGATTTGGATGTTAGAGGAGCTGCTGCATCCCCTCAAAAGAAGATTGAATTGTCATTGAGGGGGAAGAAATGTCAGGTAGTCAATGGAAGGCTTGTGATTGTTTTTCTTCCTTACTTTGACATTTGAAAAATATTTTAATCATACTTCAGAAGGTTCTTAGTTTCAGGTTAAAATGCATTCTATAGAGGAGACACCTTTTAAAGAAATTATTTTTGTCAGAATGGGATAGTTTAGTATGACAGCTTCTCAAATGAGGGTGAGAAATTCCAATATAAACAGTTATCCAAGAATAACTGCTACTCTCAGTACTTAATTGGAATGTGTGGGATTTAAGAATGAACTAGTACTTGCAGTTAAGAGCAACAGAGGCTTGAACATATACTGTGTACTGTCTCTGGCTGTTAGTGAAACTGGCAACAGGTGTGTCTGTGTTTTTGTTTTGCAAGACAGCGGTAAAGTAAAGCAGCCTCCAAAATATAATTTGAAAAGGCATGATTTTAAGATGACATGAAAAATGAATCTCAGTGCTCTGCGTTCAGTATGGAGGGAAATTATATTTTCCAGGTATTCCTAGTAGTCTACACTTTAAAATAGGGTAGGTGTGCAACCCTCACAGGTTCAGTGTAGTAGAAACTTTAAGGCTAGCTTTTGATAGCCCCTACAAATATGATCTTGGATTCTGAGGACCATTATTTTCCTTACTGCTGAGGTAAATATTAATATTGTTAGTAACAGTTGATTTTTCTCACAGGTACTGTGTATTTTATGTCCATGAACAAAAGTTAATTGCTAATCCTCCCTCAGCCCCCAAGCACCCGTTTTACTTCCTTATTTGTTGCATAACCCCATTAGGAATTTTTGGAGTTTGACTGCCAAGTTGCTGGTCTTCTTTTCAGTTTGATTTGGAATGAAAAAAGACCTTTTGTAAACGTTAATACATCAATGTTATAATGTTACTGTTAATGTTTTAACCATTTAAGTTTTGAAAATTAAATTTCTGTGGACAACAAGAACATTTGGGGCATTTAGTGTAGGTTGTAAGAGAAAAGAAATGTCATTTCCCCCTCTAATCTCTCATTCCTTTTTTCTTTCTTGTGCAACTAAGTCTACAAAGTTTGACTCTAGTCCACATAGTTTTTGGTAGTTTGCAAAAGTAAATCTTAATTAAAAATTATGCTGAAATCATGTGCTTCACCCCAGTGTTCACAATGTTTTTTGTTTGCTTTCTTCCTGATTTGTTGACTTCTAAAAATTATATTATGGCTTTAACATCTAGAATTAGCTGTGTTCTTTGCCTCACCACAGTTAAAATAGTACAGAAAAAAGATAAAAGTGGGATGTAATGCCTTGTTTTTGACACCTTGATGCTCTTAGGTAGGTGACCACAGGGTGGCGGTGCTCCTTCCGTGGGGAGGGCTCTCAAACCTGGCTACCCGGGCTCGTTCTGGAGTCACTAGAGGGTACTGTTGCCGAACTTTGCTTCGGGAGCAGCTGCAAGGCTGTATGGCAGGAAAGGAGTTACAGTTTTGTGCTCGCTCTCAGATCGTGAAGGATGTTCGAGCACTGCTGGAAATAGGATTCTGCTCAGTTTAGGCTGTGATGCTGAGATTTATGAGCTGAGAAGTGTGAAAGCAAAAATGTTAGCCCTGGTTCTGAACGTTCCCAAACAATTTTTTTTTATTTTTCAGAGTGGGAGGCCAGTTGGGTGAATTGTTACTTTGTGCTTGCCCCAAGCAGCCTGCCCTATGGATTTGCTGCTAGCTGTTTTCAAATGCCATAGGGGGATAGGTGATGCTTTAGCTCGAGTCTCTTTTCTTGCTGTGTTCTTGCTCAGTTGAGTTTGGAGATCTGTGTCGTATTCAGCCTTGCAAAATAAATAAAGCGAATTACCTAATCGTCATCACAACTGCTATAGTAAAGCTGAGCTGAAGCAGTTACAGCAAATATCAGGGGTTCTTTGGGGTCTGAGCTAGCTCCTTGTGAGCCAGCTGGCTGTCAGTCTTGTGGTTTTGGTTTAAGGGTTGGTTCCCACCCAACAAGGACAATGTGACCTGAAGCCTTGTGAGCAGTGATGGTACAAAGCCTCAGGAGCACACATTGTTTTTAATGTATTATTAATAGCTGATGTGGATGCTGTTTAGATTTTTAATGGCTGGAAGTCTTCCTGTCATGATGAATATTCAGTCTGCTAGTCTCATGATGTGTAAGAATTAGCTTTCAATGAGAAGTTTTTGTTTCTTTCCCTTTGTTAGTAATGTCTTAGTCAAGTATGTTGGACAGATACTTTAAGCCTCTAATTTTAAATATTTAAGGAGAAATTGAAAATCGAGAACTATGTATTTTAATTTGGATCTCATAGGTATGTAATAATGTGTCATTCTTTTAGAGTTGGAGACCAAATAGACAGGCTACACACAGTCCTCGCCCACCAGAGTAAGTCTGCTTCTATTTCTGATCAGCTTGTTTAATTGTGTGTATTATTAACTCAATGCATTTGCATTTTTAGTGACGTGCAACTTAACATTCCATGAAATTTATCATCATAGGTTTGTTTTCTGTGATTTATATTTGGAGTAGAATATTTGATGTATTATTTACTTTGGAATCAAGTTGATTTATGTTTGGCTGAGTGGAGGTTTAATTACAGAGTGGGTAAAGATGGAAGAAACCACACTGGGTCTAACCCACTGGTCCATCTGGTCCAACCTCCCTGCTCAAGCAGGGTCATCCCAGACCACATTGCTCAGGATTGCATCCAGATGGTTTTTGAGTAGTTCCAGTGAGGGAGACTCCACAACCTCTTTGGGCAACCTGTTCCAGTGCTCAGTCACCTGTGCTAAAGAAGTTTTTTTTGGGTGGAAGTTCCTGTGCATCAGTTTCTGTACTTTGCCTCTTGTCCTATTGCTGGGCACCACCAAGAAGACCTGGCTCCATCCTCTTCAGAGGGTGTTACTCAGAGCTACATATTTATATATTGTTTTTCTTGAATATTTTTAATGTGTCTGCAAAAGAGAAAAATGGTATTTTAGCTATTGACTGCTTTTTCAAGTATTACAGTAAAAACTACAGAAAAAAACTGTTGTGAAGGGTTTTTACAAGTAATGTGAAATTTTGTTTGTGCTTTTAAAATTTAAAACCTTATAATGACTTTGGCACATGAGGAATATCTACTCTTCCAAGGACCATGATTGATAGTTTAGTCAGTTTTATTTACTGAAATGCCTTAGAGCTAATGTATGTAATTATTTTATAAGTGTCTGTGACTATGACCTTTGATTCTTCCAACCAAAGTCAAAACATTCCAATTTCTGTGTACTGTCTGTCATTATCTAATAAAAAAGACTGTAAGATAAAGAACTCTTTTATTCCAAGAAGATAGAACAGAGTTGCTTGCAAATATTGGTGGTAAAATATATATAAAAAAATGTATTCATGGTGCTCTGCAATATACCTGGAGTAAAGGCAGAAGGCACAGAGATGCTTTCATGAATTGGAGATGTTTTCATTTCTTTAAGCAGAACAAAATACTGAGATATGGTTGTCTTCTACTGTGTTAATCTCCTATGGAAAGGTCAGAAGATTTGCATCCCAAGTAGAGATTGCTTCCCTTTTGCCTCTCTGTTGACTGATTATTGAGGAATGTTGACATGGATGTGCTGCAGAAGACGAGAGTAAGGCACCCCTCATTTATGATCATGTTGCGGTAGCTCCTGTTGGGCAGGGAAGAGAAGCCAATGTGGGAGTAAAGAAGGATCCTTTTCAGCTGCCAGGGTACTCTGCTGCTGGGGAAGAGAAGCTCTGTGGCCCCTTGCTGAGCTGAAGCAAGAGGGGCTAATAGAAATTTGCTGAGTAGGCCATACCCAGTTTCATGGAAATTTTTGTGAAGGACCTAATAATAACTAATAGGCAGTGCTTTTATTGTAGTTAAAACATAAGGGAATGTATTGCTGTTAAAATTGTTTTAACTCCCTGCAGGGTGCCATGCCTAGATCTAGGGAGGCTGGGAGATTCTGATGAAGAGGTAATTGTAAATTACTTTTGTCTCAATAAATTTTTAGAATTCACATTTTTCAGGAATTTATAAAAGTATCACTCTGAATATAAAACAGTTATGATTGCTTGTCCTTTTTTTCCTGTGATTTTAGGACGGGGACTCTTACATACCGTACACTGGAAGGTCTTCTCATAGGTGCCAGCTAGATTCATCTTCAGGGTGGAGAACGTCATTACAGACTCCATATGCACAGCATCAACATGTCAGTCTGTCTCTACAAATATCTTCATAATATACCCCTTTAGCAGTAATTTAGAAAAGCATGCATATATTTTCTTTTTATGTAAGTTCTTTTGGTTAAGCTCATATCTCCAAGTGCTGTTGGTCCAAAATATTTTTAGCAAAGTTTTTTTACTGAGATTCTTTAGAATATTTAGAAAAAATATTTTATTACATAGCTTAGCTTTTTGTTGATTGATACACTTACCCTTTTGTTGTACTTATTTTTTAAGAACTATATTAATAGAAATAACAAAGATTAGTAGTAGTGAGTGTGTGACTGAAGACAAAATACATGTTTATGAACAGTAAGTATTATTTCTATGGCACAGTAGTTACTTCTGGTGAAAAGAAAACTTTTGGAGTTACTTGCAGCCATTTAATGTTTTTGTTTTTTCTTAGGGCTGTTTTCTTTAAAACAGATCTGTGACATAAACTTTAGAATTACATCTAATTTGTTGATGATCTTTTTATTGTTAGAATTTCCTCATCATGTTATCTTTCCCCCCCTGGATGACTAAGAAACTTAATCACCACTAGTCTTACATGCTTTTTAAGGAAAATCAGGAGCCTAGATGCTAATATTCTGATTTACAGTACAGTGCAACATTGTTCAGGATCAATATCCACTATAAAAGTTTTTAGAGTTAATTTAATTACTCAGTTATTACACTTTCCTGAATGCAGAGAAAGAGTTCTTTTGAACTTTTATATCTGAATTAATTGTGAACAAAATAAATGTCACAATTTTTTATTTGATCACGATACATCTTATTTCCTGCTTTTCTTTAAATAGGTGTCTAGAAAATTGTGTCAGAACAAAATGGAGGTAAAGAAGTTGAAAAAATACAGACTGACAAAAAGTCTTATCAGTTCAGTACTATGGTATATGGTCTGAAAATATAATATATTATAATTTTTTATGTGACAGGAACTAGCTTATTGGAGAAATTATTAAAATTACACTGATTAAAAGTCCATTATTTCAAAAATATTTAACTTACGTAAACCTAAGAAATATCCAAATGAGTGTTAAAAAAAAACCCATGATTTTAACTAGAAGGAAAACAAATTTTAAATTAATTTGTACATAACCTGTGCTCCTTGAAACAAATATTATAGTAACTTGAAGGGCAGAACTCCAGATTGGCTGGAGCTCAAGGTGAATCTGCCAAGATCACTATTTTGTATGTTTCCCTATATAACCAAATGGTTTCTCTACTTGAAAAACAATTTCATTTAAGTAAAAACTGAAATGGTAAGTGTTTTTTTGGTCTTTTTAAGATAATACTATAATAATAGTACTAAGAATATACTAGTTTTTAGAATACCTAGGTGTTTATACATGTCTCAAGATGTAACTGTAAACATGTAACTGCAGATAGGTTTTTTTTCCTATCTACTGCCTTGCAAACATGCTTCTGTTGTTCTGGTCTTTTCGGGTCTGGATGCTTATGATTACACTGCTTGCTTTGCATTTTTTTTAAACAAAGTTCCTGTGTATAACTCTGTCAAACTGCAGGAGTGCTAGTAGAAGTTTGGTAGGGCTTTGTTTCTCAGGGTCTGTCTCCCTTTTCTGCTTTCCTTTATCTCTTGTTGCTTCCTTTCTGCCTTCATTATGTCTTAAATTCTGAGCTCTTAAAGTATTGGAATGTAGCTTCTGTTTACTTACCCTTTCTCTCTCTTCCTCTCTCCCTTTTTTTGCCTGACTTGCTCCCCATCTTTTTTTTTTTTTTTTTTTTTTTTTTCTCTTTGTGGAGAAGATTTTCAAGCTGTTTTGAAATATTTTAATTCATTCCTCTGACAGGCCTTTACTTCTGCATTTCTTGCTTCTGGGGCTCTGACCAAGCTTTCCCTGAGCCAGATAGATTCCAGCTTCTTCAGTAACTGTGTAAGTAAATCTTCCTAAAATAGGTCACTTTTGGAAGAAAAAATTAAATATACTCTTATAATTCAGGAATTAACCAGGGAAGGGATGTCAATCCTCTTTTGAAGGAGAAAGTTGGCTCTTCAAAAACATAAATCTTTTTGGGTTTTGAGAAATGGTTTTCTAGAGCAAGACTGTAACATGTTGTTGCAAGATAAGTTGCAAGTGTTGAGTAGAGATGCTAGAGAAGGCCATCTTACTTTTTTTTTTTTGTTAGCATTGAAGGAATATAACTTAAATATTGAAGGTGTTAGTCATTCAGGGAGACAGAAGAGAATGGAATCTTGGACTTCTGTCATTGCTGCCCTTTCTACTGATGCCAGCCTCTGTTGTGCAGAGCCCTGAAACAGGTGTAAGTTTAGAAAGGTACTCAGCTGTGCAGCTGATGTTGTTCTAAGGAACAGTGTGTCAGTTCTCATCGGCCATACAAGAGTATTAGAACTCCTGACCAAAAAACATCCATCCGTCTATTTTCAGCCATTCGAAAATCAAATGTCAAAATTTCCATTTTAGTGATATTATAAGGCAGAACCACTGAATCTGACTTCTTTTTTAAAAGTAATGTAAAACCATTTGAGAGTGTGTTTTAGATTTTAAAATGGTAGAATTTGAAGAACTCAATGAAAATTAAGCCTGAATGTGCAGTCCTGTTTGCATTTTTTCTTAATTTGAAGCATCATGTCAAGAAGTTTCAGACATTATACTGGATGGGAACTAAAAAAATACTGTTTGCATTCAATAGACCAGACAGAGGCTTTTATGTTGATTACTCATTGCTTTAACATCCTGTTTTGGAGCAGAAGACAAGACCAGAAAAGCTGCCATCCCTCCCAGACAGACCCAAACCGAAGCACAGTCTGTATGAAGCAGATACGAAGGAAGAATCTAAGCAACATCCTCAGAGAATTGCAGGAAAGAAAAAAGACCACCTCCAGTGTCCAGACACTTCAATAAAGGTAGCTGGCAAAGTAGAAATTGCATTTTTAAATAGCAAATGTACATCTATGTATGTAATTTATTTCATGTTTTTATTTAAAGAAATAAAACCATGTAATTTAAGCATCTAATGTTGAGGAGGAAATAATCTGTAGGAAGTTTATTTCAGGTGTTGCAGAGAGAGAAACTGAAGTGCTCTGAGAATTTATGTATGGTTTTGTTCCCTGGTAAAGAAAGTAACACTGGCCTTCCTAGTACACCTCTAGTCTGAGCCTGAAGATTAGCATGATTGATAAGGGAGAACTTAAAGCCTATAAGAAGAGGAGAGACAGCAGGAAGATCTTCGTAAAGTGTTATTTCCAAAACCAGAAATTCATTCAAGCTTTTTTATTTTTTAAAATCTAGAAGTACTTTAATTGCTATTCTGTAAATTGGGACTGTATATAGGACTTGAAGAAGGAGAAATGATTTAACCTGTTTGTTCCTTAGAGAACTATTAACACTGAAAATGGAAAGGAATATGGGGTTAAAATAACAAAAGGTATTATCTGTACTTTTTGCTTTGATGTTGTACAGTTCAGATTCAGTACAGTTGGACTGCAAGCGGTACTAATTCTGCCAGTTTTCTTTTGTGTTTTCAAATTAAGGTGGAAAGAAGGATAGATCAGTGGAGAGACACTGGAAAACAAAGGGGTGAAAAACCCCAAATTTCATCTTGTTTGGAAGAGATAGTGGAGGAGAGTGGTTGAACAGGGAAAGGTGCATCATTGTAGGTATAAGAAAGCAGGAAACCTAAGTAAGCAACAGCTGTGAGGACTGGTTGAATGCTAGATTCTGCTGAGGGTAGATGACCATTTAAGAATCTTAATGGAAAGTTAAGTATGCAAATGTTGATAGAACATATTGTGCTCATGGCTTTTCAGAGAAAATTATGAATAACAATGAGTTTACTGAATTTACTTTCCTAACATTCAGTAGAATGAAAAGGGAAGGCTTTTCAAAAGAAAGATTGTTTCACATATCACAGACAGCTTTAAAAGAGCTTTCTCTTCATAGTTGTGCTTCTAGTGACCTGAAAAAACCTATTAATAAACATTCTGTGAATAAGAGGTGAATGAAAAAAAAGTTGAGTTATTTTGTGGTTTAGTTTTATGTGTAGTGGCAGATAAGATTTTCTCTTTTGGAGATTTGTTATAGTTTGGTGTTTTGTGTTTTTTAGTTTTTTTTTTTTTTTTTTTTTTTTTTTTTTTTTTTTTTTTTTTTTTTTTTTTTTTGTTTTTTTTTTTTTTTTTCCTTTTCTAATGATTCCACTCTAATGTACTGGTCTGACACTCATATAATCCGTTTTTCAAGGAGTGACTTCTTTATATGCACTACTGCAAGCCCATCTAAAGGGTATTTACAGGAGGAGCCAAGTTATCTGAAAATGAAGAACTAGATGGCAAATGTATGCTGGGAGAGAAAAAGCGGGACTGGTGATTTTGGGTTCCAGATACTTGCTAAGCACTAGAAGCATGTGTGTTATTCGTCTCACAGATTTTAATATAATGTCTATAAGAACATTTTTTTGTGTGTTAGATATTATCACTACCTGATTAGATGAATAAATAAAAAATATTTCAATACACTTGTTTTGCTTGATTCGTGGAACTTGTAACAACTTGTCTTTTCCGTAAAGAAGGTGCTCATAGAGGAGATTGCTAAAACTGTTTCTGTCAAAACTTCCTGTATCCTTTTTTTTTGATATTGTCCATGTACAAAACATTTCTGTAATACTCTGGAACTGGTTTACAAGTCTGTTAGGACCAGTAGCATGCTTTGGCTTTTCCCTGTCTAGGCTATATTTAACTTCTTCACTGGTCACAAAGCAGTATCTCTACAGTGAGCTTTGAGCTTTATAGCTAACAGCAAATCCTCTGCTTCCACTTGGCTGTTCCTGTGCAGGACAGAAAACAGACGAGTTCTTGTCTTATCCTCAGAGATACTAAAGTCTGCTTTCTCTGACTTGCTGCTGTTTTGTTCACAAAGCTTGTAGGAACACAGTATTTTGAGATTTTTAAAATTTATTATTTATTGCAGTATAAATTAAAACTGGTAAGTATTCAAAAGATACAAATCTTGCTCTCTAGTCTTTCCTTGTAAGTTCAGTTTCTGTAGAAAGCTAGACTTAAAATCTCTTTTAGTTAGCATGAAGTAGAAGAAGTAGACATTTTAAAAAGTAAAAAAGAAAGTAGTATTTTAAAATAAATTGTTGAGGAAAACATGTGTGGGTTTTTTAGTTTGTTTTTATTACAATTCATTACGTTTGAGTTATCAAAAGAATGTATTTTTTTGTAGGGTACACAGCTTGAAGATGGACACTATGATTTTGTAACCCTTGATAAGAAAGCTCTCCTGCAACAATGCTATACAAACAAACCACATAATATGCAGCACAACATAAGGAAATCAGAAGCTGTAAGTATTTGGACTGGTATGATGCTGCTAACCACCTTGATGTGGAGAATGGCTTCCCAGAAGTTATGCCTTCGGAGATTTGGGTCTAGTATGTAATTGCACCCATTGAAATCATGTGAGTTTAAACATTTCTCTCAATGGGAGCTGAACTGAGCAATCCAGTGAGCATTTTTTAAATCTTATCTGCAGTGTTTGTATTTTATGCAGTAACTGATATAAATGAGAACACGAATTATGAGTAATATATACAGATACATTCATACAACTACGAATAACTGAGGTAGCTGAGTGAACCTAAACATAATGTTACATTCAATGTCAGAAGTTGGACTTTGATGATCCCGGTGGATCTCTCCCTGCTCAGGATATTCTATGATTTCTTCTGATCTGTAGCTTTTAGCTAAGCCTGTATTCAGTGGTCCACAGATTCCATAATTCCATCAGCTAGTATTATATTAAGTCAGCAATAACTGTGCCTGTGTCTTTAAGCTCTAGGGATGGAGCTTCTACAGTGTCTATAAGCAACATCTTCATGTGACATGCTATTCTCTGTGTGAGGAAGTTCTTCCTATTGTCCACACCAATCCTCCCAAGGCCCAGTGTGTAACCTTTACCTCCTGTTATACTCTTGGCTTGTGTCAAGAAAGTTTGGTTCTCTTTTCTTTATAACTTCTCTTCAGAATACCTCATAGCTGCTGGTTCTGCAAACTAAACAAACCCAAGCTCCCTTAGCTGCTCCTTTCAATTGCTTTTGCTCTGGTCTTTAGTCAGATCCCTTCTGAAGGAAGAAGGAAGGTCTAAAGTCTGGAAATCACCATGGACTCAGTAGCACGCAGAGAGGGGAATTAAAACTTTCCTTACATGGATGTACCCAATACACTTCTTTAATTTATTATATAGATGTGAATTTTACTGTTTTTGGGACTGAACAATAGGAGTCTTGCCCATCTGAGGCCTTGAATTTAGGATCATTTACAGGGATGAAGAACCTTGATTTGATATTGCATGATTCAGTATTTCCATATGCAGAGTGATGGCTTTTATAACTGGTTTTTGAAGGGATTGCTGGAAAGGGTTATGCATTCTAACTTTCTCATGGAATAATAAGCCATGATAAATTTTATGGTGTTTTAAAGTAAATAGTAATTTGAATTAATTTTATTTGCTCATCACTATGCATTGAATTTTGCATCATTTCAACGATTTATTTGATTTCTAGTCTTGTTGAAATGAATGCAGATATTGCTCTACTGAGGTCAGTGTTAATTTTCATGACAAGAAAATCTTTTGTGGAAGTACTTAAGCTTTTATTTTTAGAATAAATTAAAAAATCTATACTATTGGCTAAAGATAATGGAAAAAAGTCATGAAGTATCCCTAGAGTAACTACTTAATGCTAAAGCAAATACAGTGAAAGCCCTGAGAAAGGGAGGTGTGCAGAACTGCAAAATAGAAGATATTCTATAGCTGCCATGCTTTAAAATAGAGCCAGCAGGTGTCTGAGCAAGGTGTTACTGAAGCTCTTCAGAACCCTTTTTTTATTCATTAGCACTCATGGTCAGCACAGGCTGACTCACTCTGTCTTTTGAGGACCATCTCATGTTCTCCTAGGTCCAGCTTCTGATAGTGGTAGAATACTGGAAAAAATTGGCAGTAGAAACTGCATGTGTATTAATTCCATTTTGTATATATTGCCTCAATTGCTGGCAGTTCATTTTATCTACCTGAAAATTTTGTTCAAGAATACACAATGTTAATATGTCCTTTTACTATAATCATTACTGAAAAGTCAAATGTTAAAGTAGAAATTCTCTTGATTTTTCTGTAATTTGGGATGAACATTTGCTAGTGGGGTTCTGCAGGGCTCCATCTTAGGCCCTGTGCTCTTCAAAATCTCCATAAATAATTGGGCACAGGACTGGAAGGGATACTGAACAAGGGATACATAAGTTCACATATGATATAAAACTGGGAGGAGCTGCTGACTCCTCGAAGGCAAGGAGGCCCTGCAGAGACACCTTCACAAATCAGAGGGCTGGACAATCACCAGACGCATGAAGGTCAACAAGGGAAAGTGCCAAATTTTGCTCCTGGGACGGGACAACTCTGGATGTGAGGACAGACTGAGGAATGAGATGTTGGAGAGCAGTGCCATGGAAGGGATCCTGGTCAATGGCAAGTTGAACAGAGCCAGCAGTGCCCTGGCAGCCAGGCAGGGCAGACCTGCCCTGGGGGCATCAGGCACAGCATCACAGCCGGGCAAGGGAGGGGATTGTCCTGCTCTGCTCTGCATTGGGGCAGCCTCACCTCAAGTGCTGGGTGCCAAAATATAAAAAAGGTATTAAACTATTACAGAGTGTCCAAAGGAGGGCATCAAAGATGGTGAAGGGTCTTGAGGGGAAGCCGTATGAGGAGCAGATGATCTCCTCACTTGTTCTGTTCAGCTTGGAGGAGACTGAGGTCTTCAACATCCTCATGAGGGTAAGAGGAGAGGCAGGTACCAATCTCTTCACTCTCATGACCAGTGACAGGACAGAATGGAATGGCCTGAAGTTGTGTCAAGAGAGATTTAGGCTGGGTATCAAGAAAAGGTTCTTCACCCAGAGGGTGGCTGGGCACCAGAACAGGCTCCCCAGGGCAGTGCACACAGCACCAAACCTGACAGTTCAAGAAGAGTTTGGACAATGCTCTTGGGTACATGGTGTGACTCAGGGATGATCCTGTGTGGTGCCAGGACTTGGACTTGATGTTCTTTGTAGGTCCTTTCCAGTTCAGTTTGTTCCATGACTTTTTGATTCACAGCTCATTGCCAATAGATTTCATGTATAACCTCTGAAGAAGATTGGTTTCCTCTGAATGCTCATATTTAGGGAACAGCAACTACTTTTGCAGTGAGAGCTGCTACAAATTCAATGTTTGCCTCTGCCCTAGGCATTTTTGTAATTTCATAGTAGAGCTGTTGTCTAAGAGCAGAATGGAAGAATTAGGTCATTCAGCGACCTAATATTCACTTGAAATTTAAGGTGTAAATTTTTTTTTGTTTAATTTTTCAAAAATCACATTCTTTATAGCATGCTAACTGGTTTGGATCTATAAGATGGGTCCGTGGAATATGTTATAACAAATACTGCTCTATACTATCACCATGTCCTCCTTTAAATCATTCTTTTTAATACATCTGTTGCAACAGTTAATGGGTAAAGAATCAATAACTCAGAATAAAGCACCCTGTAGTTTTTGCACTTGATATGTGCAAAAACAAAACTTGAAATCAAACTAAAAATTCTATTTCTTAACAATTCCAAAATCTTCTTAAGCTTAAAATCAGTTTGGAATAACCAACAGCTGGTCTGGTGTTGCATTAGTTATTTGGGTTTTTTTCTATTTGGCTTTTTTTTTTTTTTCTTTTTTGACTAGTGCCAGTCAGTATTTATTTGAAGGTTGTGAATTCTACCCGTAACATCTCTGTGGAATTAGGAATTATCTCTTATAGGTACCTGGGAACTTTTCACTTCTTCATCCACACAAAGGCTAGATCTCTCTAGAATTTGCTTTGCACACAAGACCAATTAGAAAAATATCTAAATTCTCTAGTTTCAGAATAACTAAAAAAAAAGCAAGGTTGCATAACCCCCCTTGGTAACAGTAATCTCTATTTTCTCATATAATTTTTTTTTTAATAAAAGGCAAAATAAATGCAGTAAAAAACTTCAGGAATGTGGAAGATTAAGAGTCGTGCTGAGGCCTGGTTATTGTTGGTGGCCTCCATGCTGTCCTGGGCCACCTCTTGTGTTTTGGTTTCTCTCTGTGTAACAGGTTATGATCAATGCCTGCACACTTTACAGTGAATGGCACAAGGTTACGGTTCAGTGTTACTCTAATAAAAATAAGAAGAAGATCATGTTAAATTCCCTTTCCCCTTTAGGATGATATTTCCTGAAAGGTTTTTCAGATTGACCTGTCTCAGCAGAAAATTACTGTGGCAGGCGAGAAAGAAAAATCTTGCAACTGAGACTAAGTCTTAAAAGAATTTTTTTGACTAAATATTGCTGGAGGTAAAGTTTTATTCTCTTAGTTGGAATCTGTGTCACCTGAAGAACTTGGAATAATGTGAGTCTCCAAAGGCTCTATTGTACTTACAGAACGTATTGGAAACAGTACAGAAATAAGAATTTTGTCTGTAAACCTAAATGCTAGAATTCTCATATTTATTACAACTAATATGCACAGACAAATTGATTGTGTAGCAGAGAATATTATATGTCTATTTTTTATGCAAATAGACTCTATTAAAATGTAAAAAAATATTAATTGTGGCATGGGTAAATTTGTGACCTCTGAATGCTGTCTTAAAGGGTAATTTATGATTTGAAGTGCCTGCTATTATATATTTCACTTGTTCTCAGCCAGTTTTTCATTGCAGGAAGATGTTGCTGCAGAGAGGAGAAAACAGGCTGTTGTAGAACAAGTTATGGTGGATCAATTATGTAGGTAAATGAATTTATAATGTAAAATTTCAGTTTTCCCTACAGAAGAATTTAGATCCGTTCATGTTTGTCTTTTTTTGCTTAAGAGGTGTTTTGATCATTTTGTTTCAAATCATATGAAGTCTTATGTAGTAGTATTATTTGCAAAAATTCTTTAAGTGAAAGGCTTCTTAATGCAACTTAAAATATCAGTTTCTAGTGCCAAGTGTATGTTATTTTTTTTTTCTGGAAATAATTCCTAATTTTATGCTTGAACCTCTTTTAAGGTCTGTACAATAGCATTAGCTCTCAAAAACAGCCCTGTTGCACCTCAAGAAAATACATGGAAGCCTGATCTTATAAATTACTTGTCCTCAATATTTATTGTCCTTTCTAAAAATCTTAGCTTTATTAATATTTATTAATCCTTTATTAATACTGAAGCAACACCTCTCAGGCATAAAGGAGTATTATACCAATGCTGGGCATGTAGGAAAAAGGCACTATTATAAACTGAGTTGGTCCAGGTTGTACAGTAAGATCTCCTGCTTTCATTGCTATCCCTTTAGCTTCAAGAGAGCATTGCTTCTGTGCAGAAAGATCCCTCTATTTTAAGCATGCTTTAATAATTCAGGGCTTTATGCAAGCTGCCTGGTTATGACAATATAAGAAGATGCAAGCTGGTTTAATATAGTTTCATGTTACTTTATACTTACAAGACATTATCTCTGGGTATGTCTAGATTATTTTGCATTCTGTGCATAGTTTACAGTCTCTGGAGTCATCTGCACTGGTGTTCCAGCCCATCAAATCCTAAGATTTTGAGGCTGAAATTTTGTTGCACTTCACCATTTTAGTTTTTATTTGTGTCTGTTACAATGGCAGTTTAAATGACCTATATTGTCTGAAAGTCTATTAGCACTTTTACACTATTTAAAAGCTGACATGACAAGAAGGTTGCCTGAGGGAAGTAAGACTGTCATGAAACACAATGTTAAATTCCAGTTTTAATCCTGAGGATTAAAATTATGGAACTATACAGGGTTGAAACCCCCAGTTTTCAGACAAGTGCTTGGCTTGTGTCATATCCCTTTAAAGATTATTACAGAGGTGATCTTAAAAATATGCTGGTTATGTTGAAGTGTTTTAGTACTACTGGTGTTCCATTAAATGTACAGCTTTGTGCATCTTGGATCATGGATGGCCATTCTGTGTTTATCCTCCTTCTGCTGCTTTGCCTTATTTTTTCCATGTCTTCCTTCTCCTACTCTGAGCCCCTCTGTTGATAATGTCAAAACAATATTCAGTAGTGCTGCAGCTGCATCAGGATGAAGTTTTAATTTAAAAAATCTCTCTGTTTATGTTCCAAATATAACTCTGCCAGTACTTCTAAACAATTTGGAATCAGATATCAGGATGTTAATCGGAAAAGATTAGTTCAAAACTGTTGCATGAAAAAAAAGCTATTTAAGGAAATACAAAGGTATTTTGAATATTTTTTTAGTAGAGCAAATTTTGCAATTAAATCAGTGTAACTGATGTGTACAAAGATGTATCTGTAAGGATCAGAGAGCAAGTTTAGAAAACTATAATAGCCATGCAAAATTATTTTTTCCCTCCTGATAACCATTTCAATAGCATAACAAGCATCTCATTTATTTTTAAATGTTCTCTTCTTTTGTTTACTTGTTGAACTGATACAGAGAATTTCAAAATGCTCAAAACCCAGTTAATCTGTTCCTTTTTTCTCAGCTGTGTAGTTAGGCTTTGAGGGAGGAAGTGCCAAAGGTTTTGTTGGATGACAGATTGGATGGGGCTCTGAGCAACCTGGTCGAGTGAAAGGTGTCCTGCCCACAGCATGGGGTTGGAACTAGATGATCTTTAAGGTCCCTTCCAACCTAGGCTACTCTGTGATTCTGAGTTGGTGTCACTGGCCAGTGCTAGTAGGTGATATCACTGATATTGGAGGGAGAGCCATGGTTAAAGAATATCACTGATGGAATATTTACAGAAATATAGAAATTATGAAAGACCCCACAAGCCCTCATAATACTAAGATTTATTTTATATAAGATATATAAAATATACTTTAAATAATATGTCTGCATTTAACATAACTACATAGCAGTGCACTGCCAGAATATTATTGCATATGTTTGATTTTATGAAATAGACTTAAGAATTTGTAAAAATAAACAAAAAATTAGGCCCACAAATTTATGCAAGCTTAATGGATCACTCCAAGATTGTATTACTATATTATTCTTGGGTGTTTTCTTTCCTGCATAAAAACATGTAAGACCTGAAATCCAGCCATACTGACAGTAACAGGGATTCTCCCTGCTCTTTGTGGTCAGAGCTGTTATAAGTGATCCAGAGCAGTCCACACGTTCTGATGCTTGCAAGGAAGCTCAAGGACTTCTGGGAGCTGGGATGGCACCAATGCGTTTTAGAAAAAGGACCCTCCATGAAACAAAGTAAGTTTATAAAAATAAATTTTCTGCTATATATTTTTTATATAGCTTTGTGAATTCTGTTTGCTTTTCCAAATGTTCTGTTTTTGGCTTGGATCCACGAGCTTCATGTGAGGCCTTTTTTGTAGCTTTTCTGTGATTTTTATTGCCTAGTGAGATTACAGGGACCTCTTTATGTGAATTCTCTGTGAATTATGATTGATCAATAGAATTTATAAAAACTGGGAGAACATTGTTAAGCTTATGTTGATATTATTCATCACAAGGATTTGCCAGCCTTTTCCAAGTGGCTGGATGCTTGCAATCCTTTCAGAGATTCCTATCCTTAGGTTCATAAATTGCATAAATATGCATCTGTAAAGGCTAATGTAGATCTTCAAAATAATCATACTTTTCTTTCATGTTTTCATTTCTGCTGCAATAATTAACCCTATTGGCATTTAAATTACATTCCTGGACTGTCAGCATTGAACTAGTCGCTCCAAGGACTTAAAAAATACCTGAGGAAACACTGTGATCCATAAAATTAAACGAATCTGCAGGTCTGAGTGTTGTTCTGTTTTTGTCAACATTCAGGCAAGCATTTCTGCTTTGTGCATTGTAACATTCCATTCTTAAGTCTTTCTCATCAAATGTCATCTTTGTATTTAAAAAAAAAAAAGGAAAAAAAAGATTAAAAAAACAGTCTCAATTTCTTACCTTCCTCACATAGACAAATCTTCATTTCTGGAACTAGTAATAGAGCCAATATAAAATATTTATGTGGATAAAAATGCCCCCACCTGGGTATTTTTGCAAGGGAATGCATTGGTTTATGGAAGTGTGGTGGGTGGTAGAGGTAAAGGTTAATTCTTTATATAAGTGTATGTAAACAAAATTTCCCATTCATATCTATGTTCTCTGTGAATGTACTCTCATATTATATAATAACAGAACGCTGTACAGCTCTAAGTTGCTTTCTAATTCAACTACAAAGGATCATCTCCTCAGCCAGTTGCCAAGGATACTGTGTTTCATGGTTTTTGCTGTTTGAAAATGGTTGAGTTTTATGTAACATTTATCTGGGAGCATATAGGTATCATTAACATGTTGCATTATTTTCACAGAATAAGGACCAAATCAGGACTAACTGAGAACATGCTCTCCAAAAAACTATGCTTTGATAGTAGGATTATATCAAGGTAATCACAAATTTTGTGAAGCTTTTCAATACTCTGAATTTGTGAATGAGGATTACTGTCTTGAACTGATTAATTGCACTGAATGTTTCTGCTCCCTATGTTGAAAGAAAAAAGTGTGTGTGGGTGTCCACGTGTAGTACAAATTTTGATGTGGCTAATGGATAGTGGCTTTACAGTCCCACTGTGCAATGTTAAGATCTGCAAGCAGTGCTATGTTACCATTATACCCATAGCTCTACTCTGGATAGTTACCACAGGGGCTGTGTGAAATAGTGCTTTTAGCTGTTGCATCTCAGTTGATTAAAATTATTTTGGCCTCATCTTAGATGTGGCAACTACTATAAGTAGTAATGGCTTTGCAACTTGTTCATAGCTCCTTATGTATTAAATTTTGGAATGTCTTTGAAACTCTTCTGATTTGAGTAGTGGTAGCATAAACATATTTTTCAGTTTTGAAAGTGATGCTTTTCTGCAGCTGTGAGCTGTATACTTGTTAGACACAGCTGAATATTCAGCAACATACTTTCATATACCTCAGTGAATTCAGTAGTCCTGGTGTATGTAATGCTTAGTTAATCAGTGAAAATTACACTGGCATACTAAAACATGAAGCCTCAGGAGGTGTTTTTTAGCATTATGGAGAATGGAATATTGAATTAAAACACGTGACCAAATCCATAACTTGAATTTCATGGTGGGTTAGAGAAAATAGTCAAAGAGCTCTTTAAAAAAATAAATTGTACAGCATGCAACATTGGAAATAAAATGGATACTGAGAGCAGCCTTGAGGAGAAGAACTTGGGAGTGCTGGTGGATGAGAAGCTCATCGTGATCTGGCAGTGTGTGCTTGCACCCAGTAAACCAACCATGTCCTGGGCTGCACCAAGAGAAACATGGCCAGCAGGGCGAGGGAGGGGATTTGCCACTCTGCTTCTCTCCCGTCAGACCCCACCTGCAGTGCCCTGTCCCCCTCTGGGGTCCCCAGCCTGAGAAGGACCCGTTAGGAGTGACCCACAGGAAGGTCACAAAGATCATCAGAGGGAGGGTCCACCTCTCTTAGGAAGACAGCTTGAGAGAGTTGAATTGTCCAGTTGGAAGGGAAGGCTCCAGGGAGACCCTCCTGCAGCCTCCCAGTGCCTACAGAAGGCTGCAGGGAAGTTGGAGAGGGTTTTTTAAAGGGTGTGCAGTAATAGGACAAGGGGGAATGGCTTAAAACTAAAAGCAGGCAGGTTTAGATTAGATATAGGAAGAAATTCTTTACTGTGGGTGTGGTGAGGCACTGGAACAGGTTGCACAGAGAAGCTGTGGATGCCCCATGCCTGCAAGCGTTCAAAGCCAGACTGGATGGAGCTCTGAGCAGAGTGACCTAGTGAAAGGTGTTCCAGCCTATGCCAGGGGTTTGGGAACTAAATGATCTTTAAGGTCCTTTCCAACTTTCCAAAACCATTCTGATTCCAAAATAAATGTTACTTATGTTTGGGTTCAGTTGGATTTATATAGATAAAAAACATAAAAGTGCTTTTCAATTTTCCTTCTAGAAATGGTCATGATGCTTGCAGGGAGTTAATTGGATTTTTCTTTGCGTGTGACAAATCCCTTACTGTGTATGAATTTCGACAGTTTGGAAAAAACAGGTAGGATGAATTACCTTATAAAAGGGTTTTAGAAAACATATTTCACTGTATCCAAGAAGCTTAAATAAATGTAATTGTTTTAGTAATTCAGTTTTGAATTATTTCACAGGACAAATGCCTTGCCTTTCATTCAGAAGGGAGTTTATCAACATCAACGTGGACAAAGAAGGGGAAAAGCTTATGATCTTAGTGACTTCTACATTGTAAGTATTCTTTTGCTGAATGTAATTTTTTTTTAAATTTTTTTTTTTAGGTAATATTTGGGTATTTGAATTGTAAATTGTAATCTAGCCTTCCGGGAAGACCAAAAATATTCCCCTTAAGTGACATTTTTGAATTAAAGATTTTCAGAGGTTCGGATTGTTTTGTTGTCCTGCATTTTAGAGGTTCCAGATGCAGGTTTCAGATGAAGCTGCACTTTGCAGTTGTCCCCCTAGAGGGCACAAGACTGCTGACAGTGTAGACCTTTGTTGGACGAAGTGATCCACTCGGGAGGGAGTCCTGAAGTAGACCAAAGTACTTGTTAAAAGTAAATAATCTTTGCAACGTCTGCTGGCCTTTTTAACTCGAAGCAATGATTAAATTTTTTTTAAACATGAAGAAATTGCAGGTTGTTTTTACAGGTAGGATGAATTACCTTATAAAAGGGTTTTAGAAAACATATTTCACTGTATCCAAGAAGCTTAAATAAATGTAATTGTTTTAGTAATTCAGTTTTGAATTATTTCACAGGACAAATGCCTTGCCTTTCATTCAGAAGGGAGTTTATCAACATCAACGTGGACAAAGAAGGGGAAAAGCTTATGATCTTAGTGACTTCTACGTTGTAAGTATTCTCTTGCTGAATGTAATACTTTTTTTTTTTTTGAGGTAATATTTGGATATTTGAATTGTAAATTGTAATCTAGTCTTCTGGGAAGACCAAAAGTATTCCCCTTAAGTGACATTTTTGAATTAAAGATTTTCAGAGGTTCGGATTGTTTTGTTGTCCTGCATTTTAGAGGTTCCAGATGCAGGTTTCAGATGAAGCTGCACTTTGCAGTTGTCCCCCTAGAGGGCACAAGACTGCTGACAGTGTAGACCTTTGTTGGACGAAGTGATCCACTCGGGAGGGAGTCCTGAAGTAGACCAAAGTACTTGTGAAAAGTAAATAATCTTTGCAACGTCTGCTGGCCTTTTTAACTCGAAGCAATGATTAAATTTTTTTTAAACATGAAGAAATTGCAGGTTAATTGGTTTTGCTCTACAGTTTGAAATGTAAATGACCAGCTGTTTCGAGCAAGTGTATGAAACAATGTTAAGCTTTGTCTATCAGCTAATCTGATGACTGATTAAAAATCATATTGCACCTTGCTGTACTGCTGTACTGGCTCAAGTATAAATACTTAAGCAAGTTTTCAAGTACAGACTATTTTCACCAAATTCTTCAAATGCTCCTGCAAACCTGAAGTTTAGAGGAAAAACTATGTTTGTGAGAAATGTAGAAAGTAAAAGATGTTGACATGAATTTTTAGTGTGTTTTGTCTAATCACATGCCTATCCTAACTGCTTATACAACCACCTAAGAATTTAGAAGATGAAATAGATGAGTTTGTGATATGGAAGATAAAGCTACTTGTTAAGATTTTCATATTTTATTGTCATGTGTATTTTTGCAGCCTGCAGATAGAAATGTGTTCTGAATAAATATGCATCATTAAGTCACACAGAAAATGTATTGCACTGAGTTCAGTATCTCTTTGGAATGATGCTGTGTCTGTGCATCTCCACATCTGCAATCATGCTTTCTGGGCTGACATTAAGACATGCAGATCTCTCACAAAGTCCAAGTGGTTGAGACCCTATATTCCCCTTAAGTGACATTTTTGAATTAAAGATTTTCAGAGGTTCGGATTGTTTTGTTGTCCTGCATTTTAGAGGTTCCAGATGCAGGTTTCAGATGAAGCTGCACTTTGCAGTTGTCCCCCTAGAGGGCACAAGACTGCTGACAGTGTAGACCTTTGTTGGACGAAGTGATCCACTCGGGAGGGAGTCCTGAAGTAGACCAAAGTACTTGTTAAAAGTAAATAATCTTTGCAACGTCTGCTGGCCTTTTTAACTCGAAGCAATGATTAAATTTTTTTTAAACATGAAGAAATTGCAGGTTAATTGGTTTTGCTCTACAGTTTGAAATGTAAATGACCAGCTGTTTCGAGCAAGTGTATGAAACAATGTTAAGCTTTGTCTATCAGCTAATCTGATGACTGATTAAAAATCATATTGCACCTTGCTGTACTGCTGTACTGGCTCAAGTATAAATACTTGAGCAAGTTTTCAAGTACAGACTATTTTCACCAAATTCTTCAAATGCTCCTGCAAACCTGAAGTTTAGAGGAAAAACTATGTTTGTGAGAAATGTAGAAAGTAAAAGATGTTGACATGAATTTTTAGTGTGTTTTGTCTAATCACATGCCTATCCTAACTGCTTATACAACCACCTAAGAATTTAGAAGATGAAATAGATGAGTTTGTGATATGGAAGATAAAGCTACTTGTTAAGATTTTCATATTTTATTGTCATGTGTATTTTTGCAGCCTGCAGATAGAAATGTGTTCTGAATAAATATGCATCATTAAGTCACACAGAAAATGTATTGCACTGAGTTCAGTATCTCTTTGGAATGATGCTGTGTCTGTGCATCTCCACATCTGCAATCATGCTTTCTGGGCTGACATTAAGACATGCAGATCTCTCACAAAGTCCAAGTGGTTGAGACCCTTGCACAGTAACAGTGTCTCTGTCTCCTCCTTCCAAATCCATGAGTTTTGGAGATGTTTTAAACCAAGCCTGCCCAGATATTAGTAGTTAGAGCTACTCCATATTTTAAATCTTCTCAGCATTCTTTGCTTTTAGTTTGCTGCTTTTCTTTATTTCCCCTTGCCTTCTATGTATAAAATACACAACCTATTTTTAAATCATTGTGTGCTTTACCAACAGGGAGCCAATCTGACCTTCCGAAGTGTCGATCATAACCTTCCAGAAACTGTTAAGCAGAACCCTTTCTTCACCCTTCGTGTGATAAGTATTGATGAAGCAGCTATGGATTATCTGAAGTGAGTGCTGATAACTGCTTTTCAAATTACCTTTCATTCCTTAAGGAAAAAAAAAAAAAAAGAAAAAAATCCAGCTTCTAATACCTTATTACTTATACTGCTAAAAGCAGAATCCATATTATTTAGGCTGTTGTTAGGAGAAATTAGTAATTGATATTAGAAGATTTTGTGTAGTTCAGTAACTTCCTAGAATGGTAAGGAGTAATTTTAAAGAAAGAATTGAAATGTGAAGCTGTTCTTTTGCTTTGTTTGAGGTCACATGTTTTTATATACAAATCATACTCCTCCTTTGTTTCAGTTTGTGCCCATTGCCTCTTGTCTTGTCAACAGGCACCACTGAGCAGAGCCTGTCTCAGTTTTCTTTACTCCTTTCTGTCAGGTATTCATATGTACTTGAGGGTAAGATCCTCAAGGCTTCTATTCTCCAGGCTAAACAGTTCCAGCTCTCCCAGGCTCTCTTCACAGATTTTATACTTTGATCCCTTCTTGATTAGGAAGAGAATAATTTTAATCTCAATTAAATATGCTCAGTATCTAAAGACTACTTTGTTAGCAGAACTTGACTATTATTTTCTTTCTACAATTGTTCAGTCACATGAAGCTTGTTCTCAGATATGGTAATATTCACTTAAAAGTCCCTTTAGACTGAAAGCTTTGCAAAGGAGCTATAGTAAGCTAACAGTGCATAGAACAGTAAATTCAAATTTAATTGGTTCCAGAACTGTATAGTTGTATGATGCTTAGTGCTAATTGTTCCCTCTCGGCAAGGTTTCAGTGAAATAAAACACAAAACAGTTTAATTTCAGCTAGTTTATGTAAGACATTTTACATCTCAGAACCCTATCATTCAAGTAAAGCAGCTTTTTCTATCATTTGTGGCTAATCTTATACCTGTGAAATTTGGAGTTGAACCAATGTTATCTCTGAATAGGAGAACCATAAAGAAGAGCTGCTCAATGAGTTGTAATTTTGGATTTTATACTACCTGTGGTGGAATAGATTATTTCCTTTTTTATACTCTCTCTGTATTCTTTCCATTAGTGACTAAGTTTCAGGTTATCTTTTTCTTCTGTATGATGACATTTATTCCCTGGTGCATAACTCTTGAATTGAATTCTCTTACCTTCATTACTCTACTGACAGAAAATCCTGTTCAGCTACAGTCCAAAAGGTCTACTGCAGGTTCCCAGGAGCAGCTATGCCCTTCTGTCACAAACCATGAATCTTTTGGTTTACATATGTTCTAGAGGGGGTACATTGTCCTCTGCAGGTGCCTGTTGACTTTCCAGTTTAGGTGATCTGATGTAGGTAAGCTTTTAGGGACTTCATAATGGAAGGTGGAGATGAAAAGTCCTACTAGATAGCAGAGAGATAAGTCTTTGGCCTCAGAAAGCAGGAGCAGGAGTATGTCATTGCAAAACACTGGTGAGCAAGCAGCTCAGACTTGACAGTAATGGTTTTCCATTTTTTAAAATATTCTGATTAAAATAATTGTAGGACTTATTTGAAAAGTATTACATGTTATTTTCCTGTTGGTGGTTAAATGTGGTTGCTTTAACAAACACTTCCAGTGGTATGAGATTAGGATTGAACTAAACTTCTGGAGAGTTTATGCATGGGAGAAATTATCCATGGTTAATGAATTAGTAGAGGCAATTCCAGTTAATATTGTTAGAAAAGAATTTCTGTGTATCTGCAGCTGGTCAGCAAAGACTTTTGTGAGTGCCCTATCAAGCTCAAGCAATTGGATATTCTGTTTGCAAGAGTAGTATATGAATGAAAGATAAAGTTGAGTATGTTGGCATTTTTTACTACATCTCTTTTGAATACAGTCATATTACATGTAATTTTACCAATCAACATTAATTGTGACTTCTTTAGAGCTTCCTCTGTGGAACTCAAGGAAGAGTGTTCCAGGCAAGTGGTGGATGACAGTGAAGTTTTCAAGAAGATTCAAGGTTTGTATCTACCAGAACCCATTCAATTTTAGTTTCTCTGTCTTTGTAGAATAAAGAAGCAATTCTGTGTCTCGTAATGGAATTTTTGTATTGTTCTGAAGTAGTTCCAAAGTTGCTTTGTATGTTAAATCATGGCATGTAATCAGTTATCACAGAAGTAGGCAGTTTTACAGTTTGAGGGCAGTAGCCATTTTTTTCTTTCCTTATGTGGTCTCTTTGAAAAAAGTTTATTAGATATTGCTTGTTAGACATACTTTATATGATTTTCACTCAGATGTTAAATAGCTGATGATTTCCTTTTGGACTGGCATTTTTTCATCAAAGACAAGGGAGTCTGAATGCATGGCTATCATATGTAGATAGTGTTCTTTACTTCTGTATTGTCTCCATAGTAAGTGGACAACTTCAGGTAAATGCTGTGTCTTTTTTTTTCTCTAAATCCTCAGGTATATTCAGAGAAACACTAAGTAAAAGAGGAGTTCAGGTTATAACAGGCTTAGGAAAGTATTTCCGACAAATAGACAAGAACAGAAATGGTTTTCTCTCTCAGGCAGCCTTGAAAGAAGCTCTAAAATTATTCCATTTGGAAATGCCTGAAGGGGTGAGTCTAGCTGAAACTGTAAACGTGGGTATTATCTTTCTTAATTTATGGAATTGCTTCTTTTCTTTGCTTAAATCTATAGTTTAATACCTGGGTTGTGCATGTTTTCTTTTGGTGTTTTTTTTTCCCCTATGGTATGTTGGCATTTCTGCACTCAGTTCTATGTAAAGTTCTTAAAAATAAAAAAATAATATATTTTAAAACATGCAATCTTTTTTTTTTTTTTTTTTTTTACGTCATGACATGAAGAAGCAAGTATGACTGCAACCCATTTTTTCTCTTTAGGCTTTAAAAAAATAATTTTGTTTATGCTCTTTACTTAGGTTTTTTCTTTGTTTTATATATTATGTTGTAAAAGCAGCTCACAGCTATCAGAACTGAATAACGTGAATTATGGTCATCAGTGACGTGTTATTTTAACAAATCTTTCAGTGAGTTTGGATCTAGAAGTTTAGGGGGGTTTTGTGAGAATACCGAAATTTCCCATTATAGCAATTGTTCTATTTCAGGATATAGTGAAGAACTTTGGCAAAATATTTTTCAATTACAGGACTTTGAATCCTTATGGCTTATTCTTGATGACAGCAAGAATGATAAGGTCGACTATGGAGAATTTACTCATGCCATATTTGGAGAAATGAATGAATATAGGAAAACATTTGTAAGAAAAGTAAGTTTTATTGCAGATATTTTAAGTGTGAATATTTCGCAGTCTAATTTTGCAGTTAGTCACTCATCATATTTTAGTTGTTGGGTTTTGTGGTTATTTTTCTTAAATTCTGTACCTGGAAATTGACTTCTTGAAGTTTCAGATCAGTTTATCAACAGAAAGGTAAATTAGTGGACTGCATGCCGTTCCATTGTTAAATTAGTTAATTTTAAATTCTAGAATTAATTCATTTATTATTTTGAGTTTTCATGCATATGTGCTGCTCTTATAGTTCAGTCCCATGTATGAAGTGTCTGGCACCCTGAGACGATCTCTTCCAGAAACCTGTTTCCTTATTCTGGCAAATGAGAAATTTTGGCAAATCTGCATGTATAGACTTTCTTCCTGCAGTGCCTGAAGTAGGATGCAGTAATACTTGTCTCCTTTGAGACCAACAGTGAGAGTCATATTTGTGAGACATGTTACATGTGAAATGCCACTTGTTCTTTGTTTATACTGTAATGTAGAGCTGTTTGCAGTATCAGACACTGATCACAATCCAGCCAAAGGAGTAGCAGCTGGATATCAAGATCAAGAAAAATGACATACACTTTCATGTTTTCAGTCATAGAGGATCTGACTCTCCTAGCCTTACGTATGGAGCATGTGTTTTTGAGTAAACTGAAATGCAAATGAAGCTGCTGTAGCAGTGCTGGAGAGGCTGTGGGGAGGCTTCTGCCAGAATGATGGGGAATCTTAATAATTGGAGGAGGCAGAAGGGAAGCAGCTGAACTTCTGATTCCAAGAATGAGCTAGAAATTAGGGAGAGAAGACAATTTTTTTTTGTGTTGACCAGGGGACATACATTTGATGAGAAAACTGTTGAGGTAAAATTATAATGAAACTGCATAATCTGGAATGATTTTCTAGTATGTGGTGCTCTACATAAAATAGGTAAATTGACATCATCCAGTATTTGATCTTTTTATCTTTCCACTTTTTTTTTTTTTTTTCCTGAGATGCTAATATGAAACTCTTTTTTTCCCCTATAGGCTTACATGAAACTAGATTTCAACAAAACTGGGACTGTGTCTATGGTAGATGTCAGAAAATGTTACTGTGCAAAGAAACATCCTCTAGTATTGGCAGGTGACTCACATTAACAAACTAACAAAAATTCGTAACTACAAAAATCTGGATCTGCTATCTCTATCAGCAGAGATAGCACATCCAGAAACTGGTTGGAAATACAAACTGTTTTCATATTTACTTAGACTTGAGCTGTTAAAGGGGAACTTTCTTCATCTGAGGACTTAAAATGAGTCTCTCCGGAACGTAACTATAAATAGTAATGGAGTTCATAAACACAATTTTAATACGTGCCCTTTTTCAAGCTGCTGGTATGCAGAGTAGTTCTTTTCCCTACCTCTGTAAGCAGTTATTTCACAGCTTTCATCTGTAAGTTATCAGTGGCAAATATGATATTAATGATTTTCACTTAGTAGGGTACTCTCATTTTCACTTTACTGTTTTCCATCAAAATATGCAAGGATTCCAACTGACACGGAATGTACTCAGCACTTGAATAATTTATTCAGAAGGAACTCTAATTTATATCTGGGACAGGTTTGTCATCCTGTACAGAGGAAATGCTGGTTTCTTCATTATTTTTTCAGGAGTCTCAGAAATGTTTAAAGTCTGCTATTGAAAAAATAGGAATTTAAATGTTTGTAATCAATTTTAAAAATCAGTACCTCCATGTACCAAACTAGTCACTGTGAAAGTCTCCATGATGTCATGACCCTTTCTTTTTCATCTATAGAAGAGAGGTTTTTTTTAATATTGCCAGGGATTTTAGTGGTAACACATGAAGTCACATGTGGGTATAGGGATACAATATATGATTTTTTTTTCCAATGCTGTAATGCCATATTTTTTGCACTTTTTTCCTCACAAGTATTGTCTTTATAAAATTGCTAGGACAAAGATGTAAATTGCAGAACACTTTTCAAATGCCAGTTTCCATCTTAAAGTTTTCCCAGAACTTTAAAGTTTTATTACAGTAAGCATACACTTTCTTACAAGATAACTTCAGAATTTTAGTTTACAAATGCAGCTTTTGCAGTCATTTGAAAAAAAAAATTCCTGTTCTCATAACTCATTGCAATTGGCTGACCCCATGTTTTCTGATACTTAATTCTATCATGCTGTAAAAGTAAGGTAATTTCTACAGGCGGTAATAAGTGAGCCAATGACTTAATTCTGAAATCAGAATATTGGATTTGTTAATGAAAAAAATATTTGCAAGCTAAAATTTGAAAGTTTCTTGCCTGAAGTATATTAAATGCTACATATTCATCTTCTTTAGAATGTATTTAATAGAAAAATATACTTTCACAGGCAAAACTGCAGAAGAAGAAATTAAATCATCATTTCTAGAAGCATTAGGAGAGTCCTGCAGCAACCCCAATGAAGTGTCCTATTCTGAGTTTGAAGATTACTATGAAGGATTAAGTTTTGGAATTGTGGGTGATGATGATTTTGTTAATATTTTAAGGAATTCATGGGGAATTTAGAGTGGAAGATGACAAAAAAGAAGAAGGGACATTTTCTAAACAAGGAGTGACTAAGTAAGAGAGGACTTAGTCTTGATGTACATTACTTTATAATTAGAGTCTTAAACTGATTTCAGGGACAGAAAACTTTAGATGCTTTCACAATAATATATGGCAAATTTCATGGAGTGTCTGTTGAGTTATGCTAGCCACTCTTCTAATAAAAATGCTGTTCATGTCTTTTCACTGGAAATTATTAAGGCTGTTTCCCATACCAAAAGCCATATTTTTTATATTAAAATAAAGTCTCCTATTTAAAAATAGGAGTGAATTAGAATACTAAAATGCCTGAAGGGGTATATGCAAGAGACAATTTTGTTTTATGATGCATTGTGAAAAGCTTCAGATTTGACTGCATAAATGTGAATGGTAGCTTTTCTTCAGAACTTTTCTTTTAACATTCTTCATCTCACTTATTTTTTCTTATGCTGGTACTTAGCTTGAAAGAGAGCAGGTCATCCTTTTCCAATTTTGAGGATGTCTGCTGTACTGGAAGTGCAGAGATGTTCACAGCATTTAGCCCCTTGGCCTGTGCACCCTCTTGACTGATCTTGCTTTGTCATTTTGATCACGCATCCAAAGCTGAGCATTGAATCTCAAAGGTTTTAGTAATCACATATGTATTTTGTAATGCATATCATCCTTTCCTGTATTTTGCTAAATGGTTTTCAAAACAAATAATTTATATTTAAATATCCATTGTCTTTATATTGCTGGGATTTTTTAACTAAAACATAGCAATTATATATTTTGCCAAACTGATATATAGCAGTTTCTATAGTAAGGAAAGTATAAAACAGAAAAGTATTTAAAAAAGGCCCAAAACATCCACCTCTGCCACTACAAAAATTAAATTATAAATTAAAATATTCTTTGCTATTTCAGATGTTCTGACAGGTACACTTTTCAATGTAATACATCTTGCCAATTCTGTAAAATTCTTTGTGTTAAGAAATAAAAATACACAGTTAATGAGAGAGAGAGACTTCAATTTTCATATACCTGTCACTGAAATTAACTGTATGTTGAACTGCATTGCTTAAGCCTATGCAATTAAAATATATAATTTTCCTCTAAGCTTGTCTTCCTAATTTTGAATTTATATTCTATTGTTAAAACAAACTTCCTCTGACACAGAATTTGTGTTTCATAGGAATTAAAGGGCAGTGCTGGAATGGATGCTGAAATGAGGGACTCTGGTCCCCTGTGGCTGACTAGCATAGTCTAGATGTAATACTTCCTTGTTCTAATAAATTGTGTGTTTTTATGTCTGGATTGTTTGACTGTGGTCTCAAATGTACCAAGTATTGGAGGGTCTATTCTAAATCCTCAAATGAGAGATCTTGGGGGGTTTTTTGGGGCTGCATAAGTCTGTATGTTTTTTACAGGGAAAAGCAGATTTTGTCAATGTGTATTCTAAGCAAGAATTCTGACTCATTATGATTTTCTTGTTCCCCATTCCTGCTGGAATTTCTCTCACTGGAAAGGTTTTGTTAATTAGTGTTCTTGGAACTGGTGATTCTGAGAAGGGCAGGTGATTCTGAGGAGGGGAACTTTAACTGGTTGTAGAGGAATCTGCTCATTAATGTGTCCACTCAAATAGCTGAAAAATGCCAAGTCACATTTTTGTTAGTTTTTTAAAGAATCATGCTCTATTTAGACTTTTTCACTTAGGAGAATTGTACCAACAGATAAAACTGTAGCTCAATTTAATGAATGGATGTGATTGTGAAATGAGGTATTGACATATTTCTTTATGCAATGTTTAATTTTATTGTGAAGCTTTTAGGAAAATAGTTCCACATTTTCCTATGGAATGGAAGAATTCAAGACAAATAGATGTATCCTAAGTGGGTCTGCTTGTCAGAAGAAGCTGTATAAGTCATATCTACTGCAAATTTATTTTGTTGTTATCATGGAAATGAGGTGCTGTTATAAGAACATAGCTTTGGTAGTCCTGCATTGTTTTTTTTTATCTGAAGACAGATCCCTAACAGGATAATCTAAGATAAATTCTAAAGGTCAAAATTTTCCTGAAAATGAAAGCAATACTTTGTTAATTATGTGAAACCTGCTAGATATGTAATTTCTATTAACTATAAGGTCATTTACACAGGTCCTGCTTGACCAGCTTGATCTCCTTTATGATCAAGTGACCTGCCTAGTGGATGAGGGAAAGGCTTTGGGAGTTGTCTACCTGGACTTCAGTAAATCTTTGACACCATTTCCCACAGCATTTTCCTGGAGAGACTGGCTGCTCATGGCTTGGACAGGTGCACTGTTTGCTGGGTAAAAAACTGGCTGGATGGCTGGGTCCAAGAGAGTGGTGGTGAACGGAGCTACATCCAGCTGGTGACCGGTCACTGGTGGTTTTCCCCAGGGCTCAGCAGTGGGGATAGTCCTTTTAATACCTTTATGAGAAGAGAGAATCAAGAGCCCCCTTCGTAAGTTTGCAGACTGTGTGGGAGTACTGATCCACTGGAGGGTAGGAAAGCTCTGCAGAAGGATCTGGGCTGGATCAATGGGCTGAGGTCAGTTCTCTGGGCACCAAGGCTGAATGCCAGGTCCTGCATTTGGGTCACAACAACTCCATGCAGCACTACAGGCTGGGGACAGAGATACTGGAAAGTGGCCTGCTGGAAAAGGGCCTGGGGGTGCTGGTTGGCAGCAAACAAACATGAGCCAGCGTGTGCCCAGGTGGCCAAGAAGGTCAGTGGCATCCTGGCCTGTATCAGCAATAGTGTGGCTGACAGGACCAGAGCAGCCACTGTTCCCCTGTACTGGGCACTGGTGAGGCCACACCTCACCAGTTCTGGGTCCCCCACTATGAGAAGGAGCTGGAGCATGTCCAGAGATGGGCAACAGAGCTGGTGAAGGGTCTAAAGAATAAGTCATATGAGGGGCAGCTGAGGGAGCTCTGGTTGTTTAGCCTGGAGAAAAGGAGGCTCAGAAGAGACCTTACTGCTCTCTATAACCCCCTCAAAGGAGGCTGTAGCAGGTGAGGGTTGGCCTCTTTTCCCAGGTAACCAGCAACAGGACAAGAAGAAATGGCCTCAAGCTGCAATGAGGGGAGGTTAAGATTACACATCAGGAAAAATTTTCACTGCAAGGGTGATCAAGCATTGGAACAGGCTACACAGAGAGGTGGTGGAGTAACCATCCCTGTAAGTGTTCAAGAAATGATTTAGCACATGGTAGTGTTTGGTCAAAGGTTGGACTCAGATCTTGACTGTCTTTTCCAACCTTACTGATCCTGTGGTCAGTTGTTGCCTCATCAGATGTGATGTCTATGATGGATTTTTAATGTCATTCATAAAAGTCAATCTTATCTGCCCACAGTTTCTCATTGTCTAAACTTCAGATGGTGGCAAAGAATTCAAACCAAATTCTTCCCAAGATTTGCCCACCATGCTTACTATGAGTAGAAAAACACAGTAACTATTCAAACCAAGGTCTGTGGTATCTGATTTTTCATTAAGAGTTGTCTCAATGGCCTGATTAATTGTGTTCTGACTTGCTCTTATTTACTTGTGAACATTTAATGAACCTGAATCCTTTTCTTTAATCAATGCTTTGTAGCTTTAAAACTATCTGGAAGTATCTACTGGGTTTACTGCCTTTAAATGCATTTCAAATAAAACTTTCTACATTTGCTATAGTTTTAAGAATTGCCCATGTTTTCCAAATTATAGTGTGTTCTTAGTTTAAGTGGGGTTCTCAAAGAAGATTCTTCACTGAAACTCACTGCTTAATAAACTAGTTGTCTTCATGCCACCATGATTTACACTTCTGCTAAAAAGATATAGCAATTTGCTGTAGTTGAGAACATCAGAAGTGCATTATGGTGTGAATGTATTTTGTCCTATTAGATGTGCAGGCTCTCAGAGGACAAGTAGAAATTAGCTAAGTGATTTAACTCCTTGTTCTTAAGGTCTGTAGCTACTTCATTAAATGAATATGCACTGACACTGTAAGCTGGAATGTTTAAGAGCACTTTGAAAAATCGAAGCATAGGCACACAAAGAGCAAACCCGCAGTAGCTTCACTTTGTCTGCTAATGGAAACACAGCATTCTCACATCAGGCTTGGCTTTGTTGCTGAGAGGAGGCATTTTTACTGATTCACCCTCAAAAACTCATTTCTCTTCCAAGGTGATAAAATTGTGTGCATCTTTGTGGGCAGAAAAAAAAAATATTAAAAATGTGTCAACCACTGCGTGTTTGTAGGGATGTGCTGTTTACTTTTGGAGTTTGGGTTTTTGTTTTTCTGGCCATTGGTTATTTGGTTTTTGGTTATTGGTTATTTTGTTTTTTGTTTGTGCATTTTTTTTTATTGTGTGAAGGGTTTTTTGTGTTTTATTTGTTTGTTTTTGTTTCTTTTTGTAGTTTTATTTTTGGTTTCATTTGGTTTTGAGCATGCTATCTCTACATAGTAAAAAGCCTAGAACTGATTTCTGATGTGTTGAAGAAAACAGGTGAGTTTCTGTGGCAGAAAAAAAAGAAGGCAGAAAAATCCTTTTCTTTTCCTTGCTATTACTCTAATAGTTTATCCTTCTTCTTCATGCTTAGCAATTCAGAAACTGAGACAGTTCAGTACTTGCTTTTCATGTTTTTAACCATCTTGTCTTTGAGAAGCTGAGTCAGAACTACTCTGTTGTAACCATCAGACATCTCCAGTGATGCAAAAGGTCTATTTGGCTATTTGTTTCACAGGGGACATTTCAAAATACTAACCAGATTGGAAGGTACTTAGTAAAGAAATGTGGTAAGACGTTACTTGCATGATGACTATGAAATATTTTTGTGACTCCTGTACTCTTGTGATGTCTCTTTTTGACTGTGAGAAACTTGAGACTAATGTCGATGAAAAATAGCTTTGAAGAAAAAAAAATAGATGTTTATCACAGGTTTCTTAATGTTTATTAGAGCATCTGTTGTGTTTACCTGGAATTTGTAGTATCTGACGACCTCTTTTCTGGGTATTTTTTTCCTCCTCTCTCATGTGTTACATATTGGGTGGAATTAATTGGATATGTGCACAGAAACTTCAGCGTCAGTATTTGCTGCCAATGTCAGAATTTAGTGTGTCCAGTCTCCCCAGAGAAGCAGCTCCGAAATAAGAAAAGTAATAGCCATTTCTTTGTGGTTTGATATTTTGTTCCATTTTAATGAAAGATGTTTAATATTTTAACAGCTTTTGCTGGCTTGTGTATGTTTTTGGTTTTTTTTTTTTTTTTTTTTTTTAACTCCTGTCTTCTGACCTTTTCCTGTAATTTCCATTCCC